ACCGGAAGAAATGAAAAAGCTGGAAACACTGAAGCATGCCATTGAATCGTTGCGAACCGAACAGAGAAAACTAGAAAAACAGTTGGACGAGGCGCGTATCTGTTTCACGTCATCCCGACTTTTTTGCACCGTATTCAATTCACTCAGTTTTCGCACTTAAAATTCAAATTAGCTCATCTTTCCAAACGAATAAGGCTGGTAATTTTTACATTTTTTTTTGTGCAGTGATAAGTGATTTCCACTGGGAGGCTTAAGCTGTTTGTAGATAAATCCACTATTTCAATCCCTGTACAATTTGTTTCGATGGTAAGCTGACACTGATATGCCTTAGCACACCAGGGGATTGAACTGCCATTAACTTTTTTCTCAAGTACAGGACGGCCAACTGTGGTTGCGACTCATTTTTTGATCAATTTTATATGATCGAGCAGCAGAGCTACAATGGTAATCTTCAGGATTGCTCGACAGAAGAAACTACGGAATTCGATGTACTCCAGGAATGGTACAAAACGCTGCGCGCGTTGGGTTTGCAGAAGGTCAAAAAGCCTGTTCCTCCAGTACGCAACAAGCTAGAAAACAAAATGCCAAAGTACGTTCATCGTATGAGAAGCAATATCTTTTTGTAGTAAATGGTTTAGTATAGCATTTAAACGTTTTAGGCAACCCTCAAATAGTTCCAATCGTTTTTTGATCAAAATTTTGCAACAGAATTGCTTACGAGAAGAAATTTGGTGGTACCAAGATACCGAGATGCTCTCAGTTGCGATGCTGCCAATTTTCCGGTACCACTTTCTTCCACACTTCCTCTCCCAAACCGCTCGATTTTGACGGGCAAATTAAAACTGCCCCAGGCAACAATCTTTTTTTTTTCCTGGATCTTGATATCTATCTTTTACTGTCAGACTGAGAACCCTGCTATTTTGCGCTGCTCCGTTTATCCAGATAAAATATCCTCTAGGAATGACTACTGCGATCACCACAAGCAATGAGTCTTTAAAAATAAAGCAATATTTCCAGCATGTGAGGCGCTTCAAACAGCTTTCAGCTTGCTTAAAACATTTGTTAGGCAGGAGCATACAAAGCTCTCTGATGCTTATTTCTCTATTGAAGGATAAAATGCTTGAGGAAGTTTCAGTTATGAGTTTCTCATGCTTTTCGGTCGAAAAAGGCGTACTTTACAGGGAAGAAATGCTTGAAAAATCCGAATGCATGGCACATGAAGCAGTCCCTTCCACTGCTCCTGCTCCGGCCTCGGTGAAGAAGGCTCGTTCTGGAAGCGGAGATGGTGCAAAAAAAGCAGCAAAAACTGCAAAGCCAAACGACGTGAAAATCAGTTCCAATGATACCCAAAAAAAGGTATACATAACTGTATTATTGTTAAGAAAAACTGTGGAAGCATCACTCCACCCCTTGCTTGCCGTATGGAGGATATTCGCCGGGATTCTCCTGTAACTGCTTAAAATTAACATTTACCGTTGTACTGGAAAAGTATAGCCTTGCTAGTACAGCTTTGGTGGTAACAATGTAAATCGTGTATTAATTTCTCTTAATATTAATAG